TTTTTGTTACTCTTAACAACTGACATTTTTCTACACCCTCAGCTGACCATTTAATGCAGAATCTGATTCAACTCTAGAGGACATACCCCAAAGCAAATTATAAACTGAGTTCCATTCAGTGATTCTGTAAGATTTTTATGAATGCCAGAAGCTGTATTTTCACACTTTAATTAAAAAATTTGCTACTAAACTTTCACATTATTTTGTGCACAATGCACATACATCTGTAAACAAACTTTTTTTTTTCTGTTTAAAATAAACAAATGTAAGAACAGGTCGATGATGACTAACTGTAATTTAAAAGCAGTCACAAAGATAGCTAGTAAGCTAGTTCCACAATCCTGGAACATTATGCACGAGTGTAAACAATTAAACACTTCAATTAAGTATTTAACTGTTCATTTATGGTGAAATTGTGAGATGTAAACAGACGATAACAAAATAAAAAGAAATTAGTTTCAGAAATCGGCAACTCCCTTTATTGGGAGTGTAAAAATGTAAATGTATAACACAGTATAAATGTGAATTTAAAGACATTATACACAGTTAGCTATCGTATTTTTCTAAGTTGTAAAAACATATATGTAGGGCTTATATATATATATATATATATATGCGGCCCCCAATTCCCCAAAATTTTTGTAATGTGGCCCTCGATAGGAAAAGGTTGCCCACCCCTGTGCTAGATCTATAACTTTCTTTAATGGTCAGCTAAAAGTTGCTTTGGTTTTATTCTACATTTAAAATTTGTTAGATATAAATGATGTTTACAGTACAACCAACATGTTCTGCCAAAAACCTTTTTTTTAAAGTAGTGACTTATTATTAAGCTCTCTGTTAAAATGTCGAGATTATTGAATAATCTGGAAATATTTATAGAATATTAGCTTAAGTCAAGATTAAATCTAAATCCCATGTTATCAAAAAGTAAATTCTATGTTAAAAGGTGTTTTTTTTTTAATATTCATTAGATTTCTCAAGTTATTTTTAAAAAAAGTAATTAAAAACAATGTGGAATAAAAGTACAATTATAAATCTGTATCCTGCTTGATGCCAACCAAGATACCACTAGTACTGCACATGAACCTGTGTAAATGTACTTAAGAAAAATGAACATTTCAAAATTAGTCTGAAAACAAACTGGATTCTGCCTCTATTAAATTAAGCTCCTGTGTAGTTGTAGATGAACGCTAGCTCAGTTTCTTAGAATGTTTGAAGCTGTGGATTTTTGAAAAGTGCACAAGAAGGCTGGGTTAATTACTGCATCATCGGCATAGTTTATTCAATAAAAAGTGCCCTAAAGCTGTTATACATGTAACTGTATTTTGCTAATTTCTTTTTTTTTTTTAATTTGCTGAACATACCCGTACTATAAACAAGATTTTCAAACACTAAGGGTTCACCCATGGGTCATCTGTTTGCTGGACAAAGAGGCAAGTTTCAATATTTTCAGCAGAAAATCAGATGCTATTAAGTACAACTTCAATCCTACCTCTCTTTCTCTCTCCTTACAAAATAGCCGTGTGCAGGATGAAAGCGTTTCTCACACGACTGGTTTGTTAAGTTGGTTGACATCATTATTAGATTGTTAATATTCACAAGTATTCAATGAACTGATTGTTATGAAGATATAGTTAGCCTGGTCTAAGGAATGTGATTAAATATATTAATTGGTGGTTGACTCAAAGGATTCATGGCCTTGGTAAGAGTCCTTACTTTAGATATATGGTCTTTGGTCTTCAAGGACTGAAGTACACTACCAATAAATACCAGTAAAAACTGCCTATTAACACTTTTTTAAATAAATCAATTCCTCCTTTATAAAGATGAAGGTGGTCTATCATTTCTCTTTCTATTTATCTTGTATGTAGTGTTTCAAGATTGAAACGAGTCATTTCAGTGAGCATTACACAATCAAGTTCTATTATCAGTCCAATTATTGGTTTCTACATAAGACAGTGCGCAAAATGTACATCTATTTACTAATCCAACTTTATTATTGAATAAAATGAAATATCTGTCATGTAGGGTGATTCCCGGTGAAACATGTTTAATAAAAATATGTAAATCAAATTTAATTTTAAGATGATTAGTGGGTATATTTTGAAAAATTATAGTGGTCAAACCGTAGTCTTCCATGTGTGGCCAAAATGGTAGTGTTGTTTTTTTTTTCTCAAAGATAAATATAAAGTGTCAAGGAAAATCTTTAGATCGTTTCAGTCCACACATGACCTATGAGTTTGCAAAGTAAGAGGTGGAATTGTGTAATAAGGGTATTTGGTAAATTATAAGTAGCAGAAGATATCGTTTGGTAATCTATATACATGTATTTTTTTGTAACAGATTCGCATAGCCACAGAAAATACTTCATTCCTCATTGTTCTTCAGACTAAAAGACAAGCCTTGTTATACAAAATCATCTCTTTTTCTTTATAACCCCCTGTGACAAGTCAAAAGCTTGCTGTCAGAGTCACTCAATACTTAATTATTATTATTTAATTTTTCCCCGTCCTATCCCCAATTTCTTCACCCGCCCCCCCCCCCCCCCCACCGTTTCCTCTCCAGACTAGACTGAGTCCACCACCTTGGCGGCCTTTTCACTTATCTTCTCTTGACGGGGTAAAGATAAACACACAGTCTCTTTTATCTTACCCGCTGGATGTCTGACAGGCGCAGTTGACACCACCTTGGGTGGAATGCAACCAATCTTTCTACCCCCCCCTCTCTCCCGCGTCTCTCTTTAATCTAGGAGATCACTCGGACCAACATTTCTATTGACCTTTCCAAGGTGCGATTCCCACCTCGAGTCATATTCACCCACGTGTAAGATAATTCTTAGCCTAGGACATTTCCTGCTTCCGCCCACATCTTCCAGGCCTATATATAAGGTGGATTAAATCAAGCCAGACCCTCTCATTTCTCATTCTATCTGAGCAATTGAGTCTGGACTATATAATTTATTCTTACTCCTAGAGGAATACCTGGTGGTAAGCCGAACTTAATCACAAGTTCCGTCTTAATTACTCTGTGTATATTTCTCACTGGATACTATTATGTGTATTTTATTATTTCATTTACATTTAATTATTGCATTGTGTATTTCTCACTGTCGTAAGTAGAAAACATAAACATGTCTTATGTATGTATTTAAGTATTGCATCAATCTATTAATGTTACGTTGCTCAATTGATCGTTGATGCAACCATGTATATCTAATTTTATTTCCTTTATCTCGGCTGACCGCCTTGATAATTTTCCTAGCGCACCAATACTGCGCATAGACACCACCTTATATATGAATTCTCTCCCCCCTTTACTCATTTTACTTGAACGAGAGTTGCGCCCCTTGAATGGTCACCCTCCCCATTCAAGCGCGCTCCATTGTTCTCGGCCGACGGTCGTATGTATACAAACCGTCATGGTCGCTGACCACCACCCATTCCCCCCCCCCCCTTTCTCTTCCAACTTGTGTTGATTATTTGAGATTATTATTTCCCCTTATATGTACATTTTTATATTATTTTTTCCCCTTTTATGTACATTTCTATATTGCTACTATCTGCCATCTATTTTCCAAATCCCATTTGTCATCATCTCCTCATTGTACTCAAAAGCTATTTCACCAAACTGACGAATGCACCTCAGTCGAGAGCATCGATAAGATGCATGAGAGACATGTCCTAACTTGTCTTTATATATCCGCAGCCTCACTCATGTGTCTGCCTATGTGCTTAGTGCTATTCAGCACTGCACTTGCCTACTGAGATTCATCTGCCTATTTATCGGATCACTTACCTGCCTATTTATTTGGCACTGTCTGCCTATTTGCTATTGAGTATCATCTTCCGCCTACGTGGATCTACTCAACTCAACTACTTGGCGCTATCGGATCTACTTGCCCGCCTATTCGACAGCCCACCTGTCAACTTATTAGGTGCGACGTCCCTATAGACCCAGAGTCTGTGAGAGACGTCATAGCTACGCCAAACCCTCTGCAACTCACTGGACTTATCCTGTTAACTACGCTGCCCCCGGCAGATCCGCTCTGCCCGCAGTAACCTTGTGCCCACGGTAGCCGGCCGCCCGCCCAACTGTGCCCACTACAGATATCAGAACTTTGGATTGAGACTCCACAAGAACTGTATCACCGGCGTCCCTCTACCCGCTAGAGCGCCACCTCCAGCTGCAGAACCTCAAGCCAGGATCACAGCCAGCTGCGACATCAACAGGACAACCAACTAAGTTCAGAAGACAAAGTGACATACTCTCTTATTAAGTGCAAGAGTGATGTTTAGATATATTAGTGATTAGAGATAGATGCAAACCCTCCCCCTTTTTATTCTTATATGTGAATATTTATGTAAATAAATATTCTTCATTTTTAACTTTGCATCTTTCTTTCATTGCTTGTCTCGTTGCGTGCCTGCTCCCGATTTATATGCTGACGGGTTGGTGTGTGATAGCTTTAAAAATAATCATCCCCTAGACATTAAACGCGCCAAACACACGTCACTTTCCCCAACCAGTCACACCCCCTCCCCCATTTTTCTATAAACACGTTTTAAAAATGTATCTTTATGAAAAAAAAAGTGGCTTGAATATTTCATTTCAAAAAGAAACTGCAAAATGAAATTGGATATTTTCTAGTTGTTGAGATCCAAACATGACAAAACCACACAAAACTAATAGTGGCTTTTCCCCTTTGAAGGACCACTAACAAAATTAGTCCCTTTGGTATACACTAAATTTATAGAGGACTGTATTTAAATGCCTCATTTGAAGGGAGTTTATTTCTAAACCAATGTTTTCAATATTTGAGAAACATGGTGTCATTATTTTTTTGTGATTCAAATTACATAACTGTGAGAATATTTACAGTAGGAATAGTGTCTAATCAAAAAACAAAATTAAAGTATGCTAGCTGCAGTACAGTACTTAACCATTAAGACTATGTAGAACTGCTATAAAATCTAGTAAGAATGAAGTCACTGAAACGTTGGTGAAATGACAAAGATATTTATTGGAGTGTACACATCATATACAGTTGTTGGACAAAGAAATCACAGACTAATTGATGCCTTCATCAAGAAATGGATTCTTACAAATATTTGTACAATAATAGTTTAAAAACAAATACAATTTTCTTGAACTAAATAAAACCAATTAAAACTTTGAAACAATTAGAACATGATTACAATTTATATTTAGAATAATGAAAAGATATGTAAGAGTGGAAAGTTGCAATACCTAAATAGAAACAAGATGACCTTGAACTATCTTGTTATTCCAAAAGATCACTGGTGTACTCCAGAACTGAACTCCTAACAATGATGACAAAGCCAAATTAAAAACAAAGAATGATTATTCATGTGACTACTGATACCACTACAATGAAGTTGAGAAACCAAAGTAAAAAAAAGTTGAACAAATCTAGATAGCTCTATTTACAAGAGAATTCTTGAGCTATACAAGTTCATTTGGTAGTTAAACCACTTTCTGTTTTTATGCCTTTAATTATGTACACAGGAAACAATTACATTCACCATTACCCTGTTATAAATTTGTTTAGCCACACTGTTCCATGGTTTGAATGATATTATAATAGTTATGTATGGAAAAAAATATATATATATAAAAATTGCACATCACATGTCTCTCTATCTAGTTATGCTGGATGACTTTATTTTAGGCCTAATGTTAACAGTGCAACACCATATTTCCTCACATTTTAAGTAGGAGGTACACACGTTTTGAAGGGCTTGGTGTTGTGAGTAGATTATGGTCAGGAAATAAAGTTTCTCCAAAGAAGATTGTACATTGATTATATATCTATTATACAAGTGAGAACATTCATACCATATCTTACTGGTGCCATTTTTCATTTTGCATGAAAATAAATTATACAGTTTACATTTTTCAAACCACAGCAAAATTACATCAAGTCACAAAACTAATTTGGTTTATTGCTTCACTTCATGTATCTACAGGACTTGTGCATACACATTTCAAACTCCAACTATCAAGAAGTTTGTTTTTTATCAAGTCCTTAAAAATATTTACTCAACTGGCTTAAGCATAGCAATGTTATTTAGTCTAATGAGGGTTTCCTACCTAAGTTCATTTATATCAGTAAATCATTCTATTTATCAGCACAATCTCCCAATACAAGATTCAAATGAAGACTTCAAAACATTTCTGCACTACCATATATTCCTCAAGAAAGAACATTCTTGTTTCTCTACATCTGGATGGCTAGAAGTAGAGAAGAACAAAAGCTGGAAACAAAACACTCCTTTCAAAAAAAAAATAAAATATTTTCTTGAAAACTACAAAAAAAAAAAAAAAAAATTAAAGTGGGCCCCAACTCTGACAGTTTATATACATTTGAATGTAATAAAATTAGTCATAAGAAATAATTCCTCCTGTAGACAGTCTTTCCTTGTACACTGTCTGACAAAACCCTCAAAGTCTACAGCAAAGTTACATTTATTTATCTTAGTACTTAATTCTAGCAACACCACAAACTTCAGGAAAAAAAGTTACATTTTGAGATTTCATGAATATCAATCTATTGAACACAAAATGTAGTTATCATTTAGTGTCCATCTCTCATCTTATAGTGAAAATTTTTTTTTTAAAAATATTTATTTTGAGAGAAATAATATACAAATACAAATAAAAAAAATAAAAAAAAAACAGAAAAAGTAATAGCTCTTTGGAACAATATTTAATGTTAAATAAACAGAGCATGTGTTCATCGATAAATAAACAGAGCATGTGTTCATTGATAAATGTTTATGTTAAATAAACAGAGCATGTGTTCATTGATAAATGTTTATGTTAAATAAACAGAGCATGTGTTTATTGATAAATGTTTATGTTAAATAAACAGAGCATGCACTACATTATGTCCAATAAAATATTTATGATTTGACAATAAAACATTAGTTAACAAAGTCGTCTCTCATTAAATGCTAGAATAAGAACAAACATTCAAAACTCCATTTCTTGACAGTATCTTAGTGGTTTGCCCTTGCATTCTTCAAGCTTATCCATAATTTCTTGACAGATGGTCATTACCTTGGGGTCAACAGTTATAGATGTCATAAGTTTCTGAATGTGTTCATGACCACCTTCATTACTTAACAAGGTCAGATAACGCTTACCTGGCAAAATACAAAGCATCCAATTCTAAATCTTAGAGCATTCACTCTTACAAATGGAAATATGTAATGATGAAAAAAAAAGAAAAGGTTTTTAATGACAATGGCCTTTGGGGCATGACTTTTATCCTTTTACAATCACAGAGAAGATACAATTCACCCATCACAAAATAGGCAAGACTTTTTGGTTCCTTTAGCTATTTCATTACTGAATAAAAGCCAACTTCCTCAGGTAAGCTCCAGTTGTAGTGTTTAAGTGAGATTTTATAGTGGAGGTACATTTTGAACACAGCATCTTCTCTATGTTTACATTTTTATAAAGCAAAATGCAATGTAGAGGCAATATAATAAAAACCCATCTATGAAGAGAAGAGGATTGGGGGAGATATTGAAATAAACATACCAAGCAAAAGAGAGTTAAATCTCAATTTTATGGTGCTAACAAGTTTATACAAAATTAACTTTTGAACTACATAATTTATCAACACTTCCTATACAATGTACACTGGATACACCAAAAAGCTAGCTATTTATCTCCCATTGATGGAAATCTCTACTTAATGTAAATTTCATTGTTAAACTATTTGTTATGTTAATGCCTTTATATAACAATATTCCTTAGTAATTTCCACAAATAATAATAATACACATTTTCATATTCAGAATATTTTGATCTAGACATTAAAAAATGATATTAATAAAAAAAAGCCTACCATTTTTAGAACAAACATGGTGAATGGCCCAGACAGCCCACAACTGTATTGGAGTGTCTTCACTTTGTAGAAGAGGAAAAAAAGGACTGAAAGACCTAAACTCAAAAGAAAATGCAAATCATTAGACAAAAGAAAGCAATAGATATGAGAATCAGTAGAAAATGCTTATAAATACCATGGACTGTTTCTGAGATGGTATTATAAATGTTTTCAATAAGAAGACTTTTCACTGAACATTCCTGGCTAGAGTATTAGGAAACAATTACTTCTTCTGCTTATTGAGCTTACATTAGTAATAAAAAAAAAATACAGTAATTAAACAAATCTTTTTATTTAATAGAAACTTTTTTGGTAATGGAACAGTCCAGCACTGGTACTTAAAAGTGATGAAATAAAACTAACCTATAAGCCACCATTTCTGCTTTAGGCTGATCCCAACTAGATACAACAGTTTTCTGAATGCGTGAAAGAAAAATGTCAGTGAATGAAATTATTTTCACCATCAAATATTTTTTTCAATGGACATAATACACATTTCAACTAAAAATACAATTTTCCTTTAAAAAAAATGTATCCTACCAATTCCTCTAGAATATCATATCTGTCAAGACCTGCTATACTTCTCCAAGCTTCATCTCCATCACTACATAAGTGAGCTAGTATTCCAGCTGCAAAATAACTGACATCTATGTGTTCCCCATGTAACATGTGCCTGGAAGTAAAGAAGCATTCAACTCAATTGATGACAATCAACTAATTTGGATGACATCCTAACACATATCTTGTAGTGGCAACTTAAGTTTTTAAAAATGTAACCTATATTTAGGAGCCCTGACTACTTAAATGTTGCTAAGTGCCCACAATGATCAACTTTCCCCAAATCCATTTATTTCATTGTTATTTTGCTTAAATTTTATTTTAGTCTAATACAGATTGTTTTATCATAAATCAGTAAGTTTTAGTTCTTTTTTTTTTGTTTAACACAATTCAAGTAAAAATCATCAGCTAGTAGTTAATTAAGTAATTTGAATAAGATAACGCAGAAACTTACTTTATTAACATTATGAAATCTTCTCTCATTAATTTATGTCTTAGCGCTTTGACTTCAGCAATGTTGTTCTGGACACACAAAAAATACAAGACAACTTTTGAAAAGAGCTTACATAAATGATGCTATAAAAATAATGATATTTTATCATAATATGGCTTCAAAATTTAACACCATGATCAAACAATTCTATCAACTGACTTACCAACAAACCAAGAATTTTGGTTTCCACTTGAACATGACTTTCTGTTTCTTCTCCATCAGTTAGTTGTAGAAGCTTAATAAACAATTCCAGTCCTCCTTCTGTCAAGAACACATTACATGTGGATGGTGCTTCATCTGACAACCAACCCAGTGACAATATAGGTCAATATTACCAGTAAAATTAAGATTGAGGCTTAGGCAGCTTTCTAAAAATGTCTTATGATTACATATAAAAACAATCAAATCATATGTTAGGACCAACTAGATGTATCTTTTAGTTAATGATCTGTATATCTGTTTATTTTGGTCTCATAATCATATAGTATAATAAGAACTATCTGTGTCAGCAATTGTTTGTATAATAGTGATACTCAATTATAAATAAGTGACATAACTGTAAAAAAAAAAAAATTTAATTCTAGCATTTAGAGAAATTTTTTCAAGTGACTCCTGAATTGTACAAAATAATTGATAGATTAGAGATTAGAGACAGGGTTACTGCAGCGATCGGACCCCATGATGACCTGCTAACTATTGTAAAAAAAATGCAAGCTTAAAATCTATGGCCATATTACAAGATCTGCTGGGCTTGCAAGGATCTCCCTTCAGGGAACAGTACCAGGAAAAAGAAGAAGAGGCAGACAGAGAAAGCGATGGGAGAACAACATAAAAGAATGGACAGGCCTACTATTGAAAGAGGTTTTAAACAAGGTGAAAAACAGGTAGGAATGGAGAAACACGGTCGACAAGTCTTGCTTGGTGCCCCAATGGTCCAACAGACTAAGGAATAAGTAAAGGTAATTGATATAGTTAATTCTTGTGTAATTTACCTGTAAGATTCCACAGAGCACTAAGTGTAAACCTCAGAGTAATATCAAGCTCCCTTATCACAAGCCTTTCTTCTACCAACATTAATAATTTCTTCATATAGCGAGCTTTGGCACCAAGAATTGTTGTCTGTTCCGTTGAAATCTAATAAAATATTTTGTTGAAAATCATTAATAAATATTAGTGAAAAAAAAATATATATGGGATATTTATTTCATAACTATTTTAAGTTTGAAATAACAGGCCACCTTTGCAGCTAGTATAGAACAGATGGCTACTGACATCCGATTCATTGAAGCATCATCAAACTGACACATACATTCCATGACTAAGCGTGAGCATCTGAACCGGTCAAAGTTCTGCAGGAAAAAAAAAAAAAGATGAATATTAGTACAACCAAGTGATGCATTCAATAGTTTTATTTTCAAATTGAGGACTAAACTTTGTGTCAAAAATGTCTTACCACTTCTTGTAATATCCTGTCACTGCAAATTGTCAGTAGAGCATTTTTTTGTAGCTGAAATGCAATAGAACAAGACATTTAGTTAGAAAATAGCTCAGTTTTGTAGACATTGTTACCTAGATACTATTTTTTTCTCTTGACCTGTAGGTTGTCTGCCCCTTGTGTAATAAGTTTTTTTTTTATTTTATTTTTCACGGTGAGTCAAGCCACACAGACAGTGACCGGTCCTTGACCTATGTGTGTACCTCTGGTTGAAAGGAAGGTGGTTTTTTTTTCTTCTGTCTCTTTGAAGAGCGTTCTAGATCTGGGTGTTGATGACTTATTCTGTTCTAGAAATTACTAGATTTGTCTTGATATCGACGCGCGGTATATTATATAAAGACCGCCCGTGTAACGTTGACAGACAGACATACGGAGACAGCCGAGAGACAGAATAGCGGAGACATTGCGTGACCCGTGCGTGGTATACCAATTGATCGTGTAAGTTAAGATTTTTTTTTTCTTTCAAGGCCTTGCTTGTATTTGTAATTATATTTTCAAACTCTTGTATTGTAATATTTTTACATGCCATTTTTGTAAAAGGGTTTTGGTCAACCCTTCCATTTTGTATTGAGTAAATGTTGTTTTTTTTTTCTTGCTTTATGTGATTCAGTTAAAAGTACTATTCGAGTTATATTTTATTAAACCCTAAGTTGATATTTTACCTTCCGATTTCTTGTGTCATTTTTTTTTTGTTATTCATTGTAAGTCTTTGATTAAATTCAGACTTAAGATAAGTGACACAACTACCTTTTTCTATTGTCACGTTCCCCTAGGCAAGCCATTTAAAAGTAGAATTCAATTTGTAATACGTGACAAAAGAAGTTTGGGGGCTCGTCCGTGATATTTTTCTGAACCTATTTTCGTCTTACTTGAGTAATTTTGTAAAGG